CGCGCGTTCGCACACATTCCTTCGGACGACTCCGCCGCCGCCGCCGCCGCCGCTCGAGAACAAGGGAAGGGCGGTGCTCGGGCCTTCGGGGAACAGCACAGCACAGCTCACTGCGCGGGGAATTGGGACACATTGGCCACGTCCGAGGGTGTACTGCTACTTATAAAAGTCAGAGTATGTTTTTATTGGGTCTGGCGTTCGTTCTGCTGGGTGGGCACTACACCGTAAATCAAAAATTTTGAAATGACGTTTTCAAACGTATTGGAATTCAAAAACTTGTTAAGATTACGATAAAGCTTTTTTTGTTGTTGTTAATTTCAAAATGTGTTGATTTTACGTAGAAAAGTGCACTAATAGTAAGACGTTGGAAAAGTTCATTTAAGACGTTAGTTCAGCTAATTCTTCGAGAAGGTTGTGTATAAAATAAGCGAGAGAATAGATGTTTTAATACATCCCTGAAGACGTGCACGCATTTCCACTCTTTTGTTCTCGTGCCGTCTGATCTCGCGCGTCTTGGGGTCTCTGAATGTGTCACGCTCACTTTCCCGTTTCCGGACAAGCGAGCAGCCGCCTTCCATTTCACTGTCTGCTCCGGCTCGAGCGGCGCGTTCCGGGGGCGGCCGGTGCGCGTCGCACCTGGCCAACCGGTCCGGCGACGCTGCGGCGGCCCTCCGCGCAGGAATCCCGATCGACATTCCTGCGCCACGGCTCGGGCGCCGCCGCCGCCGCCGCCGCCGAGGAGCCGCACGTGTGTGCGGACGCGCGTTGGCCCGCGCGCGCGCGCGAGGCAGGCGCGTGTGGCCCACGTGTCGCCGGCGAACCGCACTGCGGTGTCGAAGGGCCGCCCCGCGCCGCGTGGCTCGCACGTGCTCGGCTGCCGCGGGGGATGGATGGCGTGGGTCACGCCGGGGGCGAGGTCGGGACCAGGTGTGTGTCGGCGTTCCGGGTCCGAATGTCTGCGATTGGCGGTTTTCGAGACCTGGCAATGATGTGCCGTACATATGTTACGGTTTTACTACGGATTTGTGCTATTAAGTAATGTTTTCTGTCGAAGTTCGCGAATCAACAGCACAGGAAAGAAGGTACATTAACAATATCCCAGGCGTGGTTGGGTTGACTGAGCAAATGGTCAGTTAGTGAGAATAATTAGGCTTTTTTGAGGTATTTGATGTTGCTGGTTTTTCATTTTACTTTTACCACCGACATATCTAGCACAAAACCTTAATAGGAAAACGGTTTTAGGATGTAAAAATTCTAAAACTAATGTCCACACAGAACTTAAATAACTTCGTTTTGTTTTTCATGTGGAAGTGATGGATCAATGGTATTTGAGCCACCTCACAGGAATTTAATGCAATAAAATATTTCATGCCCACTCATCGGAACACTTGCATCTCCACATACTACCTCCCTCTGCCAAAATGATTCGTTCTTATGAAAAGTTTAGCACGGAGGGCAAGCTGTGGGCCTAGGTCGTGCCTCCATAAACAGTGAAAACCCCAGTCGGCCGTTCGGGCCTGCCCCGCACGTGCTGAGCGCTACGCGCCCGCACAGGTGTCCGCTGCCGGGCGGCAGTCGGCGGTCGCCATTCAGCAGCCGCCGGAAGCCGCGCCGCCGCTGTCGGAAGCGCGTCTCTCGGGCGCCGGAGGCTGCGAGCGCGCCGGCGCGCCACGTGTGCACGTGCTCCTGCTCGCCTTGTTTGACGCGGCGCGCCGCCCGCCGCCTGTCCTCTCGCACGTTGTCGGAGGTTGAGGTCCATGACACGGCAGGCAGACTAGTGTGTGGAGAAAATGTCGTGCGCCGATGAGATGATTACATGACGAAATAATTGCAAGGAGATCGTCACGAAAGTGGGGTAATAATTCGCACCCCCCCTCCCCCGACTAATCAGGGCTGAAAAATGGAACGCATTTTTGTACATCAATATGTTTATGAATTCCGTGTCGCGGAAAATGTCATGATATAATTCGTTGCGACAATTGATTTCTAAACCTTGCATATATTTGCAGTAACGTGACATGTTAAGTGCTTCTCCTGAATAATTGTTTTCAACCTGCCGCGATTTTACATCGACAGGAAAAAATATGTGTTAATCATAAATTTCAAAAGAGAGTTTAGCGACTAGTTTCAAATTTTGCGTGAACCTGAAATTGTCTTGTACCGGGCAAATTGCATAGGAAGACGAAAGTGGCTAT